AAAGATTAGTTTATTATAGATATCTGATTAATGTGTGAAAGAAAATGTATGTGCTATTGAACAATTTAAAACTCGTCTTTTAGCTCGAGCAGGAAAAGTAAAGAGATAAACAATTGATAATGAGAATTTTGTTTGTGATTAGATGATGAAAGGAAATATTATTGATCAAATATTTAAATTGACTCAAGATCATTTAAAAGACAAAGGATATGTAAATTTCATTTTAATAGAAATAAAAAAAATTTTGAATTATTTTTGCTTTTTTTGTTTTTAGGATTCGAAAAAATTGGATTCAATCAAAGATGAATTTATACAATTAATGAATAATCTATCAGATAATAATGAATTTGTATAGAATAATAAATTCTTTTCATCTTCTTTTCTTTTTCAATTATGAGAATTTAGAATAAATTAGATGATGAGAAAAAAGCAGGTAGAATAATAATTATTAAAACATTTGATTTCTATATTAATTATAAATTAGGTTTTATCCAAGCAAAACTTCAAAAAATGATTTTGGATAAATATGATAATGATCCGGTAGATTATTTTTCAATAGTTCAATGTTTAAAAAGTTTTTTTTTTATTAGAATGTACAAACTATTGTTGATAAAACTCGATCTTCTACTTTACCAATCATGCGAAGTCATATTGAGAAATTAAAAGCTAATCAAGGTGATCAGAAGGCAAATCTTGATGAAGAAGTTCAATCATATCCAACACGACAACAAGAACAAAGAGATTCTATAAAATCTGAATCTAATATGATTTCAAACGTTCATTCGTCTCATCAAAGAACGAATATATTGAATTCAGACTATAATACAAATCCTTCAATAACAAAAGTAATTTTATCATCTCTTCGAATCAAAATTCAATGATACCTTTCATAAAAAGAAGCTCATTGATTTAGAAAATTACTTGTTTTAATTAGTCATGATTTTCTAAATTCAGAATTTTCGCTTGTCAGAAAATGATTAACTAGATAATTACTTGACACTTTTTATAATTCAATTTTAACTACGTATTATTTGTATATCAATTTGAATAATATATTTAATATTCTTATTTAGTATACTCGTGATAACTTCAATGAAAAAGATCAACAGAGAAACGAACACAAGCAAAGGCTTCATCGTTCTCGAAAAGAGAATAATTATGATAGGTATCATTTTTGTTGTTGTTCTCTTATAAATCTTTCTATGATCATATTCTAGTCAACAGATATCGAATACCATTATTCCATTTACTGGTAAATAATTTTTCTTCTTTGATAGAGGAAAAACATTTCTTTTATAGGTTGTGCTGATTATGATCCATATCGAAATTATGAGCAATATAAAGCAAAACGTTTACATAACAATAAACAAAAAAATGTCTATTAAATGTTGTTTGTTTTGTTTTTATGAGTTAATAAAGAAAAATTTTTTATAACGAATCAACTCGACATACAATAACTAAAATATCATCTCTTCCATTGGCTATATATCCTGAAATAAAATAAATTGATAAATATTAAAAAAAGAATAATAATAATAACAACTATACCTTCAACAGCTTGGCTCAGAAGGTCATCAGCTAAATCTTGTAGATGCTATGATATAAACAAAGAAATTATTATATATATGGTTAAGATAATTTAAAGAGACACATTACTTTATGAATATTTCGTTTGACAATTTGATGTAACTGATCATTTTTAATTACATCCCATAAACCATCTGAAGATAAAATTATGATATCATCTTTTTGAACTTCAACTGTATCCAATGAACAATCTCGTAATACTTCGCTAAAAATTAAAAATCATATAATATCGTATTCAAATAATAACTAAACATGGTTGATTCTCTTGAATACCTATCTTTTTGTACTTAAAAATTATTCTATCAAGAAAAATATCATTACAAAAAATTGTAAAAAAGATAAATCAGTTTCTTATTGATTCGTTTCGAATTTTTTTTTTAAACAGTTCATTTAATTACTTGTCAAGGTTTTGCATGAACCTCAGCAACTTCAATCCAAAAAGAAAACGAGCTGAGTTTTTTTGACTGAATATCCGATTAACAAAAGCTGGTGAAATTTATTATAAAACTTTGAAGTAATTTTAAGTACAATCTATTTCAAAATATTATGTGCTCTATTGTTTTTTGAATAAATTTTGATAGGAACATGATAGAGACCTGTGATTTTCACCATTCATGAGAAAAGATGTCAAAGCATCGAAGTATATCGAAAATTCGATTGGTCAGCAATTGACTGATCAAATATGACCATTCGACTGAGCACGGTTAATTGTCCCCTGTCTAGTTGCTTTTTCAAGTGATCTCATATTAATCAGCTGAAATCGAGAGTCTCATAACTCTTGAATGAAACAGATAAGGAATGTCGACCTTGTATAGATCAAAAGCGAAGAACTTTTTCTATCTATTAGTTCTATTAAAAGTCTAAATCAAAAGTCAAACAGCTTCAGAATATCGTTTTCGAAAATCTTCATCAAGAACTTACCTAATCGATCAATTGCTGATCAAACAAATCTCGGTATAGTTTGATGATCTAGGATTTTCTCTTTTGAATAGTAAAAACTACAGATCTCTACAATGTTCTTATTAAAAATTTATTGAAAAAACAGTCGAACATATTATATTTTTAAATGGATAGTAATTGAAAATGACTCTCAAAGTATGCTGTCTATTCCCTAGAATGTTAACATTTTTTTTTTCACTAACTTTTCATTAATGAAGCATGGTAAACCAAATGAACCATTAACAGAAAATAATTGTCTTGGTCCAAAACCATTTGAACTCATCGTAGATTTTGATCGACAATAAATTTCATTATTTCGATAAATAACAAAACCACTATCACCAATATTAAGTGATGTCAATTTATTTTCTTGTTTATCAAGTGCAAATAAACATAATGTACTACTACCTATATAAATACATATGATTTATTTTTCTTTATTATAAAAAAAAAAATTAAATCTTAAATAGTAGCGAAGCCAGAAGATAGCTGCAATGGACTTAGTCCTTCCTAAAAATGTTTACCTCGAACACGACTTGCTTCAACTTGTTGCATAGCTGAAAGAATAAGTCGTGGTAATTGATGTGGTTGAATATTAGATTGATGAAGAATATTTCGACAAGCAGCAAGAATAGCTTGAGAAAAATCAGCTGGATTTATACCAAATGAACGATTTCCACTAGCACCATCAGCCAAACCTTGATTAAATTTATTATTTATTTAATTACTTTTTTGTTCATTTAAATAAACTTACCAACAAAACAATAATCATGATTTTCAACAATCATTCCAGCATCATCACCAAAATCACCATTAGTTAAATTTAAATTCGATAATGGTAATTGACCACGCATAGATTTTGATGCTCCATTAACAGCAACACGTAAATGTAATTTTGTTTTTATTGTTGGTGGATATATTCTTTCATGAATAACTTGTCCATTCGATACTTGATAAGTACATGTACGTGATGATTTACGTTTGAATGATATTGGATTATTTTTATCAGTAATTTTTTCTTGTTTATTATCAGTATATGCTGTAACACGTGTATTATATTGTTTATTTGATAACCATATTTCATCATAAATTATTTTTGGTTCAATACGAACTGATGATGATGATTTTGTTTGATATTGACGATTATTTTGTGGATAAGTATTTTCTTGACTATTTTGACGAAAATTTGAATAACGAACAAATTTACGTGTTAAACTATAATAATAATAAATGTTAGAAAAATCAAATATTTAAATAAAAACGTTTGTTTACAGGAAATTCTCAATGCTATGAGGCTTTTTTTTTTTTCAAAGATGCTTAAACTATCTTGCTTATGTTAGGATTACAAATAATGTTTTACTCTATTCATTTTACTTTACATAAATTAATTGTATAGGTCATTTCAGGCTAAACGGGACACATACGTACAATGTTTGTCAAGAATATAAAGATGTGTACGAGATCAAGTCTTGCTGTTCTCGACTTTACATAAAGTCTGAAATACTCCCTTAAAAATCTTTTATTTTGTTTTTTATTTGCTTGAAAATAACTTAGAAGAAATAAAAATTCTAACTTTACATTTTGAATTCTAATCTTTAAGATGTCTACGTCGTATTCTTATGTCGATTTCGATCTTCTTAACGACAGTGAAAAATCTAGACGTTAAGATTCATTTGAAATCATCTAATTTATTATGATATTGATGTATATTAGATTTGTATGTGTGTCTATCCGATCACGAATAGTAATTATATTGCGCTTAATATCAATCTGCTTGATCTGCAATTTATTACCAAATTTATCTTTGAATAGGTTAAGGATCAAACGAGTTATATTTTAGGACAAGTTCTAAGTCTTTGATTTTGTTCAAAATTCACCTATTTGACTTATCAAAACTTTTTGCTTGATTTCTAAAGCAATGAGTTAGGTAATATTACAGCGAACTTGTACTTTCGTAGAGCTTTCTTTATTAAATCAACATAAGGATTTTTTTGACTTCTATTGTTGGCAAAAACATATATAAAAAACAGTGATCAAACGAAAATATTTTATGATTTTGAATACTTTCTCATATATTTTCGTGTAATTAATCTTGTAATAAAATATCAAGGATGACTACCGTAACTGTAACCATAAATATACGTTAAATATAAAGTAAAAAATCCGCTTGTGAAATATTTTAAAACAAAAACAAAAATCGAAAACTTGTTATAAAAAAAATCAAATATAAAGCAATGCTATGCAAATTAATTGAAAATGAAAGAAATGTTTATTGAAATATTGAAAACTTATTATTTAAGACTATTATACCAAACACTTAAATCGTGAATAGTCCGTGATGAATTCCAAAAATTTCAATTCATCTACCAGATTCGATGATCAACTTCAACAATCATATAAACTTTCTAAATGGTATATTTGTATAGATCTCAATACATTTCTTTAACTAGAACGAGCTAATAAAGAAATTAGTAGTTTGCTTAATTTTCTTAAACTTGCAATGCTTTGATCTGTGAGCCACGTTTTTGTGAATCTCGATCTAATCTGATGAAGTTAGAGATATGCGGAATCGGGACTATGGGCAAAAAAATATTATCCCAGCTCGAATTAAAGATTTATAGCTTAATATTCTATAGTTTTAAGTGAATTATCTTCTAAATCATCAATCAGAACATAATTCAAGAGACGAATATTGAAGAATTTTTTTTCAGACATGATACGAATAAATCCCGGAATCGTTTTCTTTGGGTCAGAATTCATGACCAAAAAAACTTGGTCTCGCACATCTCTAGGCTAAGTCTATAACCAAGATTTTTTCAACCATATCTAACATCCTTCGGCTACATAATCTGATGAAGGATCAAGGTTTCATCCTTCTACTGACTGTTCTTAGAAAATAATCAATCTAAAACTAAACAATAGCTAAGACGTTCCATCTCAGTAGGCTTACGTCAGTCCTTTTCTATTCAGATTAGAATCAAAATACAACTCGGTTCGCAAATTAAATCTGAATATGAACCAGAATCCAACTAAAACTTTGAGTCCTACACGACTCGGCCGAATTCAAGCTCTAAAAGGAATTGCAATGCTCTACTCCGCCATACTTTTCAAGAGAATAATTAATTACATCATTATAAATAAATGATGAAAGCGAAACATAAAAATTTATTGCTGTAAATTTCTAAATTAATATTTTTACTTACGATTGTTCACTACTAGTAGTTGAATCATGTTTATAATTATTCTGTGTCATTTTTTGATTTCCATTTTCCATATATGTTCTTATAATCGCATGAAATTTTTTACTTTTTGTCGCTTTTGATTGATCTTTATGTTCATAAAGAAATTTTTCTTCATTATCATTCATTATAATCTTTCGTTCTTCTTCGTTATATCGTGATAAACCTTTTGTTCGACTCATCGAATATTAAAAATTTGACCAATTCGCCCTTGTCCGCTCTCTTTCTCTCTCGTTTTCTCTTTCGTTCCCTTATCGAATGAATATGCATACACAATCGAAAAAAATATATGAACCTTTTGCGCTTGATCGCGCACACGTATATAGATACGTAAAAGTTTACATCATCGATTTATAACAAAAAAAAAAAGAAACTACATATAAAGGACAAAGAAAAAGAAGAAAAAAAACCGAAATAACTAAACTTCTTGACGTAATGACATATCCATATGTGTCCATCGAATCATGTAGTAGTTTTTCTTTCCTATAAAATAAAATTAATTTTTTTGTTTTTGTTATTAATTAGTAAAATTTTGTTGTTTCTTCTTACCAACACGTAATACAGTAATCTTATTTGGTAATATATGAATACCAAAAACGAGTACAGCATGAGGATTTGATAATTTTTTATGATTAACATAAACACCACCATCATTAATGACTTTATGTGCAACTAATTGATTTGAAAAACATTTAGCAGACATACATACATCGAGTAATGTAAGTTCTAAAGAACACAAAAATAAATAATGAATAATTAAAAAATAATAACATCGTTAATAATCGATTTGAAATTTTATCATTATGAAAATGTTTACATTTAAAATTCTTACTCTACTGATTTATTTAACATAATTATAATGAAAAAAAACTTATTTGTATTGTTAGATACATCATCAATACATAACAGAGATCCGATCGATTTGGCTCGGTTCCAAAAAAAAAAAGAAGACGAACCGATCCCATCTATAATACTTGTCTAAGGTCTATCCTCTTCTGATTCCGCTACATTAATAATACCATGTATCTACGGATTGACAAGTAGAATAAAATCCTTTCACTGCATTAAATACTAAAAGCTACAATATTTAGAATAGTTGGAATCTACAATAGAAATCTTATGAGAGAATCTCTTGTGATGTCAAATCGAAATTTTACTGGATTTTTCAACAAAAAAAAGCTTTGGCCACGTGGAAAACCAACTTTTGAGTTTCGACTTCAAATTTTGCATGAGATTAGATCATTGAACAAATTATAACTTTTTTTTTACTGATTAAATGAACATCGTATAGATTAAAAAGCGAGTTTACACCTTGAGAGGTATCCTCATTGGGTTTCTAGAATGCTTTGGAAGATTCTAGAAAATTAATTTTTTTTTGTTATTTACCTGGATTAAGTGGCATTTGAATCGTTGGTACACTAACAGATAAACCATCGATTTCTTTTTCTGTTAAATTATGAAGTAAATCAATATTTTGTGCAAACATTGCTTGAGTACTACGTATAGCTGATTCAAGTCCTTTTTCTAAACATAAGAAGAAGATTTCTTTTAGATGTTGTCATAAAATATTAACCTCCATGAACTAATAATGTTATTTGTTTAGCTAATTTAATTTGAGCAGCATATTCATGAGGTTTTGTCTTAAATAGAAACACAAAAAATTTTATGTTAAAATATTTAATTATTTTAATTATACTCGATGTATTTCCATAAGTTGTTGAATTTCATTTAATGAAAGAAAAGTAAATATTTTTAAATATTCTTCTACTTTTGAATCAGATGTATTTCGAAAATGCTGAATATATATATATATAAAAACAAAAAACCCAAATTAATTATTTTAATTGAAAAATAAAACTATTAACTTGATAACATTCATATGGTGTAGAAAGATTTTCATCAAGCCATAATGCATTTCCAACACTTTTACCTAATTTTTCACCACTTTCATTTGTTATTAATGGTACAGTTACACCTATTTATATCAAAAGAAAAAGAAAATTCGATTCGAAATAATATAAGTAAAAGAAAAAAATACCATAACTATCTTCTTCGAAATTTGTCATACGAGAAATAAAATCATGACCAGTTCGCATATTACCTATTTGATCAACACCACCAAGCTAAAATAAGTATAAACTGATTATTAGACTTTAATTAAAAAAGCTGAGAGTAGATAGTTAAAGTACATAGGCTAGTCAAAAAGTTCTCGTAATAGTACTCTAAAATTTCACCCTGATTAATTTTATTCCTGATGTTGGCCTATTCTAGTAGTGAAATCTGTTATGTGTTAAAATATTAATACGAAGTTTTACAAGTGTCTATTATGACAAATCTTTAATCAATTTTTTTAACATCTCTGTTCTCAGATGCACAAAACGTTGTATTCGCTTATATGTAAAAACTCGTTGGTTATTAGGTTTAAATGCTATACAGATTCATGATGAATTAACTGCTGCTTATGGACAAGGTATTGTTTCATATAGTACAGTTGCTCATTGGATTGATCGATTTTCAAGTGGACGAGAGTCGTTGGAAGATAATCGTCATAATGGTCGTCCAATAATTGTCATTACTCAANCAATAGAAGTCAAGTGTTTATAGGAAAGATTTGCCAGGATAATTTTGATGTCCACACATTCTAGGATGACTCATCTGTCTAATTCACTTTTTGAAGTACACATAACTCTCGGATTTAAATCAGAGGTTTCCACATTTATTTTAGTGTGTTTACGCATCTTTTTTCAGAATACCTTCATTTCTGCTTTCTTTAATTAATTGACTGAAAATGATCGTACTTACAACCGAACTCGAACTTTTGGGCTGAGTATATGCCTAGTCCTCGTTTTAAACTGTCAGACTTCTCTTTCCTCTATGGCCGAATGGCTATGTTGTTCGACATGTATCCGCAAGGTAGTGTGTGCAAAACTGAGTATCAATGACCCTGGACAAGTCACTAACAGCTGTTTGTCTTGGATAACCTGTTTAATAACATGTTGACTAAGTTGCAATATACACTTGCCCTCATAATTAGTCAGTGAGTGTGGGGGGAAAGCTTGAAGGAACTCACTTGCTTAGGTTTTTAGAGAACGACTCATCAGGAAAATTTTTGAACTTTAGAGTAGATAGATCTCAATGGGTAGAGCAAAATTTGTCTTAACATACACAATTCCTAAATGCATCTTTCTAGAAGATATCAGAGTCACAAAACTTAAGTATCGCTCGTATAATCGCCTGGTTTTCTCAGCTGCAATACCTCCCATCGAACTGAAACTATTTTCACATATACTAGGACACTTTGGGGCGTGTAGTTCTCCGATTTATTTTTATTTTCTACCATTCAAATAAAAACATCAAAATACGAAGCATGCCCTCCAAAACACATGTTTTTTTTTTACTGAAACTTTTTTCGTGTAATCTACCGAAAAATCATCAGAGCAATATCTTTTCAAACTAAACAAAATTAGATATCCCAAACAGTGTTTAGTACCTGTACAAAAAACCAATTTCGAGAACAATGAAAAAATAAAACTTTCCATACATATATTAAGATTTTTTCTTCAACTCGATTAACGGAAAACGGATCACATTAAGTAGTGTTAGAGATTCATGACCAATGCTCTAAGCATTTTTGAAATGAGATAGTAATCATCATCATTGCGGAAATGTTGCATAAAATTAAAAAAAATCGCTGTACGAGTTTTCTGAAAGGAATTTTAATAGTGAATCTGCCGATAGCCGAATGTCAAATTATTATTCTTTTTTCTAAATTGTCAAATATAGTTTAAATCTTCCTTCTTTTTCTTATATTTAAAGGCATATACAAGTGAAGACTCACCAGAATGTGATGCAGTTAAAAATTTACTTCGCGATCGCATTGATGAATATGTTAAAGAAGTCTTAATACCATATTTTTCTCCTTTGATTACATTTGTTCGTGATAGTGATCAATTTTTATCCGATGGCAATATAAAACAATTAGAAAGTAATAAACTTATTAACTAAAAATAAAATTCTTTATTTCTTATGCTTTTTTTTTTTTTGTCTCATTTAAAATAGATAAATTAACAATAATTAGTAAATTATTTAGTGGTGATTTTAAAAAAACATTTGATTTAATTCATAATGATGTTATGCGTTCATTTCCATCTCTTAAACTTAGTCAACCAATTCTTAAAGAAGTTTTTACACAATTTTTATCTTATTATCATGATTTTCAACGTTTATTATCCAACAATACAAATTTAAAAACTGCATCGTCAAATATATCATTACCTAATGTTCATCAATTAATGGTTGAAATTAAAAAATTCAAATTACCTTTTGATGGTGATCAATTTAAACCACGTTCATAGTAGTTTTATTTTCGGTGTTGCTTATTTATTTCTATATGTCTTAATAGTTTTTTTTTTTTTGTCTGAGAAATAAAACGATGATTAAAAAAACAAATGAAAGAAGAAGAAAAAAAAAAGATTTGTTACAATGAAAGATAAAACAATAAGTTAACTATAACTCGGCCAATATAATTGTTGTCCATTTGCTGATGATGTTGATTCAAATAAAGCTGTTGGAACTTCATATATTGTTTGTGGTGATGTTGTATTTGTCGTATTTAATGTTGTTGATACATTCGTATTTGATGTAGTTGCAGCAGATAGATTTGCAAGATTAAATTGTGAAAATAAATTTGTTGGCCATGTTGTTCCTGTTGTACCACTTGTTGGCGTTAGATAAACAGGTTGTTGAAGAGTCGATTGTTGACTTAATGGATAATACACAACATTTGAACTAAATAAAGAAAAAAAAAACACAAAAATGTTATTATGAAATAAGTTTTGTGTTTTCTTTTTTTAGAAAATTTTCTATGCAAATTCTCTGGCAAATTGATCGAGGTCAAACCAAACACAAAAGAGAGCCAAAACACAAACAAACAAAATAACACACACACACACATGTATAGGGAAAAAAAGAGCTTTTATAATAAGTTTTAATAGTGTCGTATAAGGGATAAGAGAATCATGATAAATAATAAACAAATCGTTAGACTCTGTTGGATATTTATATACACACGGCAAACAAAACGTAAACGACCAAATCAAAAAAAAAACACGGTCAGAGCACGCGAAAAAATAACACCTACAAGCACCTTTTTTCATTTAAATCACTTTGCTGTTCATCCGTTGGCAACACTTTGTATTAGCCTATACAGAGAGAGAGAGAGAGAGTAGAGAAAAGAGAACGAAGAAAAGAATGTCATTTCGTCGTTGTGTTCTGTTCTTTCTTTTCAACTATAGCATATGAAAAGTTGATAATTGTTTATCCAACTTTTCACCTCTGTCTCTTATTGTATATTAGTTACTATTGTTTTAATGCCATCGGCAGAAAATGCACTCACATTCTTATTTCGTCTGAAGATTTCTTTTTCTTTCTTTTTTTTTTGTATTGTTGTGCCTCATTATATTTCAATTTGATCAAAAGTGATCAAGGCGGATAGAACAAGAAGAGAAGCCTATTTGATAAAAAAAAAGACAATTGAAAACAAACAAATGGCTTCCTTCTCAAAAATCAAATCTATATGCAAAATCAGATATTTCATTACATTTGCATAAAAAAAGAGAGACCAAAAAAAAAAAAAATAATAAATTTGATTTCTAATGATTAACAATTATATACATACGGATAAGCAGCAGCTGTTGATTGATATGTAGGCATACGAGCGATTAGACTATAATTGACTAGAACAAAAATAAAATGAAAATAGATATTAAAAAAGAATTCTTTTTTTTTCTATTGCTAATTATTAAACATACATGGTAAAGTTGGAGTTCGATTTTTAGCACCTAAATAAGCTAAATTAACATTAGCACGGCGTCCATCAATAGTTGGATTTGGTTCTTTAACGGCTTCTTCTGCTCCTTCTCTTCGTGCCATTGTTACCTAATCAGAAAAGTTTTTAAAAAAAAGTTAATGCATAAAATTTGAACATACAAATCCATAACCACGTGATTTTCCTGTACTTCGATCTGTAATGACAACAGCTTCGTCAATGTCACCAAATTTAGAAAAAAAAGCTCGTAATGTTTCATCAGTTGTATGATATGGTAAACCTTAAATATAAAAATTTTCTTTTCAAATTTTATATACCAAAAAAAAAAAAAAAACATGAACAAATTTTTTGTGTACCTCCAACAAATATTTTTGTAAATGTTGTATCTTTTTGTAAATTATTCTGCATAACTTGAATAAAATTTTTTGCTGGATTTTAATACGTTATTTGAAAGAAAATTGATTGTAATCGTTTTAAATTTTATTAAGAGAACAATCTATAATGTGATAAATATTCGATTATGGGAATGAAATACTGCTGATACTTGTCGCATGTAATAAAATGACATAAGACTCTATCTGTTTTCTTTCGTATTTCTTTTTATTTTTCTCTTTTCATGTTCGTTTGTTTTATGATAAGAAAGAAGACGATGCGAAAAGTAATATTTTAACTGAATCAAAAAAAAAAAAAAGAAAGAAAAAAGGTATAGTCAAACATTGTTTATGTTAAATACAAATGTTACTCACCGAATGATACACTCTAGTGGAAATGAAGTGTTCCTTTTTTTTTTTTTGAGAGCTACTCTCTCTTATACAAACAAAAGAAGGTGTACATCGAAGGCTTTTTCTCTTTTATGAGAAAAAAATCAACCAATGAAATTTTCGTGCGAAAATAGAATAAGTGTTGGCCGAATTTTTCGGCCAAGGAAAAAAACAACAACATTAACATCAATTGAACGATGATGATGAACATAAAAAAAAGCCTTATCAATATAATATTCACTTGTTTTGTTTATGTAAATAGAGAAGAAAAAAAAATCTTTTCTCTAGATAAATATTTGAATGTGATAAGAGTTTGTATTATATATATATATATTTATGAGATATAAAAAATGAAAATAATTCGAGATGGTTTTTTTTCTATTAGTGTATATTGCAAATTGATTAAGTCACCTAATAACTTTGGTTTTTTCGTTTTGAGTGTTCAACGTTAATATTAATTGAAAGACAATTCAACTATAATATTTACGAAGATTACGATTGGTCAAAATCAAAATTTGTACAATAGAAAAAGAAAGTCTTATGAATTAATAGTTTAAAAATTCCATAAGATTTTATATTTAAGCAGTGACGAGTGGAACCAATCGTTTGTTGATATCCTAGTGCGGTAAGAAAACAATTTGGTCTCGATTCCGATCCCAGTGGGTACCCCCAGGCCGAGACCATCTTCTCCATATCTATATTTAAGTTTATATGATGAAACTACGTCTAAAGTAATTTCTAGAAAATCAATTGATGGTGGATTTAGAGCAGGTACTGAGAACAATCGTCCTTCTCTTTGAAGATATTTTTCTCAGCATAAAAGGCTAAAAGAAAATGAGTCGATATGATCTCTAATGAGTTTCAAAATACATTTTGTAATAATGATCGCCCTCATCCCCCCTCCTCCTTTCTCCAAATCCTAGTATCTATATCGATTGGTATATGTGACAGTAGAGAGTTTTTTTTTGTTTCTGTAAAATTAAATATAGTGCGTTTCGAGTGTTAAATTTAATTTAATTGACATATTTTTCTATGACTTGTCTATCAACTTATAATGATTCATTAACAATGCGCATAAGCAATCAAATAAAAAGATAAAAACTTGACTACGTCATGAGAAGAAACAATGACTGAATAATGAAATAGAACTTTGAAGTATTTTCATGTCATGTTGATTCTCACTAATACTTAAACTTATAATATCAATTTAGCTATTGAACATGTTTATTGAATGTTTTTGATTTTGATCCCATCGAAATAATGACTAGATAAATGATAATATTCAAAGCATTCGAAAGTGTTATAAGAGTGCTTACGAATCTACAAGAAATTAAAGTTATTTCGATTTATGAATTTCTTTACAAATTTATTTTGTAATTTCGTTTTTTTTTTCATAAATTAATACAAGGAAATAGAATATGATATTCAACTAAGATTGGATATAAATTACAGCAGACAGCCTGGTAGGTTACTAGGTTAGGTCAAAATTATTGGTTTGGCTCTAGAGTCCATTGCGTTGATTCTTGACACAGACTAGGGTCAAGTTCAGATCCGAAAATTTTGAACCCGACAGAATATACTTGATTCTTAAGTTTTGGAAATCAAATATTGAATACATTTTGTTTTTACTCCAAAGTACTTTGACAAATTCATTCGATTCCAGCAAAAAATGCTTAAATCAAATGTCAATTTCGTATAGCATACATAGATTGTCAAATGTATGTGCTCCTCACATTTTCGTTATAGAATTATTTTTACATCATCGTTGTAAGCTGAATCATTAGAGTCTTATAACGGGTGGCCCAGAAAGAATTGCCCTCTCAGTATTTTTAAGAGTTCTCCTCTATTATCCCTGTGATTAAAGCTCTTTTTATCATCAAAAGATAGCGCTTGAAATTCTCTACAAAACCATATATACCCAGACCCCAGAACAGTTATAGATATAGTTGAAAAAATTCGAAAACAAACGATATACACACCGCTGTAAAAAAAAAAAATAACGGGTGTCCCATAATAAATGGCCACACTTTGCATTTCATATTTTAATCTATAAATACATTTTATTAAAAAAACAAAATATACCACAAGATGCAGCGTGGAAAGCTCTACAACCTACAAACTAAAGTTTATTTTAATAATGTACTTTTTGTTTTGAAAAAAAGCAAAATTCTGCGACACCAATTTTCGTCATTGTGAAAAAATCATTTTTTTTACACCAACGAGAATTCCTTTTTCTTATTTTATCTTTTTATCACCTAATATGTATCTTTTAAAAGAAACAAAATATACCACAAGATGCAGCTTGGCAAGCTCTACAATTTACAAAGAACAGTTTATTTTATTTGTGTACTTTTTATGTTCAAAAAAACTTCAAAATCTGTGCGATCGGTTTTCGCAACGGCGAGAATTGGTCGCACAGAGTTTTGCCTTTTTTTTGGAAACAAGAAGTATATTATTAAAAATAAACTTTAATGTGTATGTTGTAGAGCTTTTTACGCTGCATCTTATAGTATATTTTATTTTTCTAACAAAACGTATTTATAGATTAAAATATGAAGTGCAAAATGCGGGCATTTATTGCGGGAAACATATTTATTTTTTACAGCGGTGTGCATGTCTTTTGTTTTCGAATTTTTTCAAATATATGTAAAACTGTTTTGGGGTCTGGGTATATATGGTTTTGTAGAGAATTCCAAGCGCTATCTTTTGATGATAAAAAGAACTTTAATCACAGGGATAATAGAGGAGAACTCTTAAAAATACTGAGAGGGCAATTCTTTCTGGGCCACCCGTTAGAACAAACTTTTTTCGATCGCTGAAAACTTTCACGACTATTCCACAGAGTTCTACTTACTCATGATTTCATGTTTTTTTGATTATGAGAAACAGAACTGATATAATCAAGATCGTTACGTTAATTTAAGTCTGTCGTGAATGAAAAATATTTATAATGATTATTTCTCGAATTTTAATTTTCTATTTTGTAGAAGAACTTATTATTTTCTTATCGTTATGAAAATAAATGAAGTGAACAATGAAAAGTAGAATGATATATTAATATTGAGTTAGAAAATTAAATATATTTGAAAAATCAAAAATTTGAATCGGCCAAGTTTGGCTTACAGATCAGATAAAAAAAATAATCTGTTAGCAGCTCTAATTTAAATCAAATATAAAAAATTATAATTCTATCTATTCATTCTAGATTATGTTAATACAAAAAAAAAAAAAAGTGTCCTTTTTCTGCTGTCTTTATTAATTATTCTTGATTGATAAATAAAATCATGCTTACACACACACGCACACAAAAATGTCTTGTAATAGTTTTTTCAAAATATAAAATTATTGTTATTAATAGGCATTTTCTCTCGAAAAACCAGTTGAATTTTGCGATGGTGAAGAACGTAAAATACCATCCGTTTGAAGTTGAGCCGTATTTTGTGGTGTTTGAAAACGTAAGTCCACATAATGAACATCATCAATTGTTGCTGTCGAACGAATAGCTGGTGGTTTTGTCGTATAAGTTTTTGTTACATATGATCCTTGAGCAGTTCGATCACCACCGAAACTAACGATTATATTGATATCCATAACACATGAACGTGCATTACCATGACTTGGACGACGAATTGGATCAACAGTAACATGAGCTGTTGGTATTTGTTTTGAAGATTCATAATTGCTAGTTGGTCGATTGATATCTTGACGATTACCAGTAGGAACGATTTGTTTAATTGAATATTGATCAGCATCACTTCGTCTTGTACTTTCATAAGCACTATCTTTGGTTCCTATTGACTCCGATGAATATCGATTATCGTTGGGTCTTCGACTTGTATAAGGACTTTCCGTAGTTGGTCTACCAGCTGTATTAGAATCATTCGATGGTTTGACAAGTCTTGAAATAGTTGGATACTGTTGTTGAGCTTCATTTTGATCATTTACATCTCTCACTAGAATAAAAGAAATATATATAAATATTTTAATTATTAAAATATATTTCTACAATTACTTCTTGATGAATAAGCCATTGTGAATAATGTTTGATGAAAACACTGTTTGCTGATGTGTGGTTAGAAAATGGTAAAGTGGTAGACTGGGATGCCGAAGAAATGTTGATATATGAAACGAAAACGATCTTCATCATAAAGAACGATAGAGAAATACATACATATTAAAACGACAATAAAAATGCTAACGCCCTTTCGTTTTTTTTCTCTAAAGAAGAAAAAAAACGAGCGAGATAAGGTACGATTTGTCATCATACTCGGCAAATATATGCATACTTAACTAACAAGGTATGTAATTCTTCTATTTTCTAGTCTATCTTCAATATTTGATGAAATTAACTTTTAAACTAGTATGACATGATCATCATAACAAATGGATAATAAAAACAAACAATGTAATTATCAAATAAAATAATTTTATTATTGAATTTTTGCGTTGAATATTATTATATTAGAAACGCAATTCAGTATATCAACATAAGTATAATATAACGACCGTTATTTTATTACACATCTCATATCTTTATAGGTTGTTGTTGTTGTTGCTGCTGTTGTTAACACAAAATGCATCTCAAATTTTGTTTTTTTCGAATTTGATTCTAATCAAATATATTGAGAAGTAATAACAAGATTTATTTTTAAAGAAAAAAAAAAACGTCTAGAATAACTAAAAAAATGTTGATCATTGACATAAAGAAACAATTTGAAAACTTATCTTCTTGACCAACATTTACGCGAAAATAAATCTTATAAATATCATGAATGTCATTTTTTTTTTGATACCGAATGTTTGAAAAATGCAAACTATTTATGAGTTCCAGAGATTGATATCAGACTGATTGTTCTAAACGTCATAAACTGTTATAAAATACCATATAACAACATTATATTTCACCATCATTTGTTGTTTCATATTATAGACACGGAAAATCACGATGTAATACTGCTATTTTCTATCATTGATACCGATTTTCTTTGATTTCGAATATGAAAATTTTTTTTTTTTACTTTAATTCAACAAAATCTTTAGTATACAATGTTATACATTATCAAACGACCTTGTACGCATATGTTGTTATTTTTGAAAAATAGATAAAAGTCTATCAGTTAAAGTAATGTCAAAAGAGCTATTCATGATTTATTCCCACACAAGGGAACATAATCGAAAGATCATAGATACTGCTGCTATATTCATTTTGATATATATATCAAACAATATTTATCTACAAGCAAGGAAATATTCAAACAATTTTGTTCAAAAGAAAATAATATTATTACTCTTGAAGATATTTCATAGGATAATTTATATAATTAGGAAATAAAATAAATACTATTAATTAGAATTTTTTAATAAATCCTTATGAAACAAATAACATTTATGAAGACTTGATTCATATGGTCATAGATTGTTGAAACAGAAAAATTCATATATAGGTGTATTATGAGTACCCTTTCCCTCCTTCGAACAATTTCTAGTTCTCGGCGGGAGTACAATCAATCGAATGTGAGTGTGTATAATGTGAACAGTTTTGATTTCGACAAATCATGTATTTTATCTTCTGATTCTGCGAGCATATGGTTGAGAATTTCAGGACCACTGACAACTGTAGGATGAACATTAAGGACACTTGCATATTGTACGAGCAATCAAGATTTTACCAGTAATCTAGAAAGATCATATAGATTAATACTTATTGACATTATCGACAAAGTTATAAAAATACAAGAAAGTGATTTTTATTCAATCTTTATATGACACTAGTAATTGAAAATGAATTCCTTTTTAGACTAGGTGAGAAATCATGATGATCCATATTGTGTCCTACGTAGTTTTCTTTTCTAGGTTTTTACATGATTCTTATATACGATCACATAAAACAAGTCAAGAGTATTTAATATAATTATTAATAACTACTATTTGTTTATTCACTAATCACAATCTAATTTCATCCTTTCAAACAGCTGATATTCGTAGACGATTATATATGGGTGAAGAACGCGCCCATTGTACCGATGGATTTTGGAAAGAAAAATGCCTATAAGTTCAATTTTAACCAACCGATTTTATAGATGTAGAGGTCAACATTCACTTCTGAAAAAATCAGCTTTTCATCTCTTTTAGCTTATAAGATATCATAGCGACAATGTAAAATTGCTAGCTTCTAACGTCACATGCTGAAAGAAGTTCAGTTTTTCTTTATCCCATTGCAATTGTTTTTAAATTATTTTTTTAGCTAGAAATGTAGAACTCATCAAACGATTTCAGAATATATTATTACTTTTTGCTTTAGACAAAGTTCTATGAATCAAAAGCTATCAACAATGCACGTTAAGACATTTTCAATTTTTGTGTAGACCGAGATTGATATCATTGGTATTCCGTTTGAAGAAATTTCATTTGAATAAATTTGATTGGGTATCAACGAGAACTAGGGGGAAATACTTTGACATGAAAAAAAGGAATTGTGTTCACGCAAAAGGTAGAGCGATATTTTCAATTTTATCATTTCTATAACTCAATGAAAACTAAATCGTTTACGATAATAATTTGATCCTTTTTTTTTACCTCATAGAGTGTTATCTCAAAAGATTAAGCAAAAATCTTTCTTTGTTCGAGAGAAAATTCGGTTTTACTAACAAACTGTGGAGCGAGATTTTTGTGGTAAAAAATGTAGAACGACATTAAAGTCATTGGGATTTCTTTTTGAGCAAGTTTTATTTAAACAAACTTGATTGAATATCAAGAGAAACACTAAGAAAAATTTTTTGACTGATCAAATAGTTTTACTAACAAAATGCCGAGTGACTTTAGTGGAAGTAATTTATACACTAAGACTGTTGGAGCCTAAGAAAATTGCATGTAATATTGTGAATCTCCACCACAGTATATGGAAGTGTTGGAAAAATATTATTTTTATACATATTCGACATCGCTCTATCAAATACAATACTTATGTTTCCTTTATCATCAAGTTTATTTTTGTCGACTTTTTTCCCAAACGGTACAATGGGCGCGCTCTTCACCCATATATATATATCAAAAAGCAGTGAATAAAATGTTGGTAGATATTTATAGACATTGTTTTGAATAAACTAGTACAAATTTCAGGTTAAGACTCTTTAAAATGGATATTTATTATCATTGATCTGATTTTCGCATATTTTACTGATGTCTCATAGTAATTATTTGATAACTGTATTGTAGACAGATGTAGATGAATTTTCGTTTCTAAGTCCCCTATCCTTTCAGTATAGGGAAACAAATACTACAGTGTGTTTAATTAGTTGAAAATGTCTGTATAATTTCAAATTAATTTGTATATTCTATCAACCATTGCGTCTTGTTTGCCTCAATATTGAATGGAATATAAATGGCTTTCAAATTGAACAATACTTATACTATTTATTGAGTTTCTTTTTTATTGTATCAATGAATAGTGATCATATTTATCATATTTGCTGGTGATGTTATTATTCACAGGAGTAAACAAATAGTTATAGAATTGATTTGTTTATTATTGATTGCACATACCCCTAAGTCTCAACTGATTAAAATGTTCATTCATGAATGCAACCCGAAGGCTCCATTTTGGCAATGACATTCTCGAAACTATATTTATTCTTTTTTTTTTTATACTCTTGAACTCATTTCTATCTTAATAGATTGCATTGAAAATTAGATTTCTTCTTTTTTTCTTTTTCTATTTGCTTTTATATTTTTGGACCTATGTTTTTTAATTAAGAGGAAATCTTTTTCATTTCTTTTATTGTGACATATTTTTTCCTAAAATAAATTCTAAAAGAAAATGAATTTATGTTTTTTTGTTTCTTTCTATTACTATTAATCTTAATCTAAAATCTTAGTTGAAGAATTAACAAACAAAAACCATGATTTCTTCTTTTTTTGTTTTGTTTTTCATTGAAATAATTACTTTTATATAGTAAGCAAAGAAAAAAACCAAACAAAAAAAGAACTCAAATTGAATAATTATTGTTGTACACAACTTTGTCGTTTGTTTGTAGTACGTTGTCCTCTATTCATAGGTAAACTTGGATCAGAAGAACGACGTACTGTATTGGGACTATATGTTAAATGAATATTAGCCAAATTAAGTAACATACGAAATGTGTTAAGTACAGATTCACGTTCATGACATGATATTTCAATAAATGTTGCTTTCCATTGATCTTGTACTATACTCTTTGCATATTCTTCACTAATTTCACGTTTTTCTATATCAAGATCACATTTATTTGCAACAATTATGATTGGTACAGGCTTTGTTGAATTATTTTTTAGTTCAAGAACAAGTTGATGCATTTGTTGTGCAATATCAAATGAATGAGCATCATTAATAGCATAAAGAATAAGAAAAGCATTACCATGTGCTATAGCAATACGTCTCATAACTGGAAATTCATCAATACCAGCTGTATCTAATATTTCAAGTATTACTTGACGATCAGCAAGTGAAATTTCAATACTATGTAATTCATCAACAGTTTCTTTATGATCATTTAAAAATTTATCTTGTAAAAATTGTTGACATAAACATGTTTTACCTATAAAAAGAAAAAGATGAAAACTTTTGTTTTTTTTTTTTTTTTATAAAAATTTATTTTTATTTACTAACCAACTTTTGTTGCTCCAAGTACAACAATACGAAGTGTTTCTTTATGAGTTTCGGCATCAAGTGTAACTGCACGTTTTGTTTGTACATGATGACGTTGACGATTTTTTGATCCATGAGTTGTATCATCATCAACTTTAACTGATGAAATTGTATTTGAACAAGTTGATGTCATTGAAAAAAAAACGAGAGACGATTATTATTTGAATATTTTTGTTTAGTTACATATGAAATGAAATCATAGTCAAGGAACGTGCCAAGTATATATAAATAATATTTGCGTGTTCAGTCGAAACTGATTGACTAAAAATTCATGACAACTAGGATGTTACATATATATATATATATATATATAGACACGGATAGGAAGCCAACAAAACAAAAGAAAAAAAAAATAGCAGTTGTAAAAAAAAGAAAAAAAGTTCTTCGTTTTTTTTTCTTCGTCGCTCGTCGTGCTCGCTACTCATCATAGTTGTTTTTTATGATATGCTTCCGGTTGTTACAATTTAGTGTATTTTATTTTATTGATGACATTTTCTCTCTTTTTTTTTATATGATTTGTCTATCTGTTTATTGTTATTAAAATATTTATTAATTATTTTTTTTAGTAAACGTCGACAGTGATTAGAATTTGTAATAATTTTTTTTTCCTATTTCTTAGTAATTACTTCAAATGTCGAATGAACATAACAACCATCTGTTAGACTAATTATAGTTCTAAGTATTGTTAACCTATTCAAGAAAGAAAAGATTTTTTCTTTTCTCGAAGTGATCTTGACTTCCGTTATCGGAGACAAAAAAAATCAAAAGATCTAATTGTGCGGGTAATACCGGATTTTGTTCGAGCATTCATCGACAGCCAATATGTCATGAAACAGTAATTTACTAGACTACACTAACCGACAAGCAACGAAAGAATGCTGTTTTATTGCCTTCATATAGTATTTTTGAACTTCTCTTAAACCCAATTTATTCTCCTAAGTAATATTCTTGTCACGTATATGAGCTCATTCTAAACAAGTAAATAATTGAATTGAAAAATAACATGATTATATATAAGCTATAGTTTTATTATCATAGATGAGATTATTGATTCACAAGAGATTTCATTCAGTTTCACAAGATTGTTCAATAAGTTTAGTCATTTTATCAATTATATATTCATGAGACACATCGAATGTTTCTATTTCAATATCATTATTTAATTTAAATATTTGTTCATGTAATTTAATAGCTATATTATGTGGACATGCAAAATAATCTTGTCTGTTTAATATATGTTCTTTATAAAAAGAACATGTACAAAAATTACTACTTGATAATGTATAAACAGGTACTTGATTTTTATTTGCACGAAATTGATAAAGACGACGTGGAATTATTTCATTTGTACGATATAAAACAAGACGATTTGTATGTTTAAGAAGATGAATTCCATGAAGAAGAATTTCATAACCATAAAACAATGCTAAACCTATAATAAACATATGAAAATATAATGATTTATTCAATAGATTATAACAAAAATATATAATTAGTATTCTCTATACATAATAAAATACATACGTATGTTATTGAAAAATTCTTGTTAACAAAATCAAATCAATTCTATCATATACTTCATATTTATTATTCTATTGACATTCGAATTCTACTTGTTGAACTTGATTAGTAATCGAAAAAATTATTACATCAGAAATTGTTTGTAACAAATAAAAAACAAATTCTCCTCTTTTTTGCAGAAATTTCATTTATCACCTTTCATTGTCTTATCGTCGATAGTTTTCAATTCATTATATGTTTTTGCAACATCAGCTAATAATGTATGTTCAACACTTAAAAGATAATTCATCTAAAAGAATGAAATATTTTTTTTCAATTGATTAAAATTCAACATTATAATTATAGATACTCTATATTTGTTATAAAATTAGAAGAACATATTAACTTTTCTACTAAAATTTTCTTGACAAGATAGAGTACATTGCTTTTGAGAGTGGAAAATTCTATCTAGACCTTGAATGCTATTATCAGAAAATATATATGAAATAAATTAAAGTTCTTTTGTTGGAGTTTTTAAATTAAAAAGACAGATTTTGTTTGTTGTTTGATTGATCCAGGTCAGAAAAATCGAATGTAATTTTTTTTTTATTTGACTCAATAGTAATCTCTTCATTAACACTAAAAGACAAGTAATAAAATTCACTTCAGAACAGGATTTATGCTCTTTGTGTCTTACGCGCTTTTACCAGCTGTATCAATCTCTTTGCGTGAGAAGTCTACTAATTCAACTATTGCATGTATTTTCATTAAAAAAATGTCAATTGCTATTGATTTATTGTAAGATTAATAATTTTAGAGGAAATAGATACATGTACATCTGTTTTCATCACTAATTCTCTTTTCACATTCCTTGTAGCATTATCAGGGTTTTATATGCAATATTTACAGCTATCCATGTTTTGCATTCATTTAGTTGATTCATGAATAGTTCTATTATAAATATGGCAAATGTTTGTTGCTTCAATTAATTGTATGATTAGCAGTACAATGATAAATAAATATTATTTTGATCATTTATTATTCTTCTAAATACTCTAATTCGTTATTTGATATGGCAAATGCAATCAAAAAAAAAAACTTGGATTAAAACTAAATATCGAACTTTTCCAGTTCAAAAGGTGCAGAATCGATACAAATAAGATTATGGATTACTGACTCGTGTTCAAACTAGGGAATTAAGATAGGGTTCAACTGAAAATAGAAATTAGTTTATTCTCCTTTGTAATGCGTGCGTCTTCCTCAAAGAAGAATATAACTACATCAACATTAATTATGTGATTCAGAAATTACTACTTTCACTGATGATTAAGACAAAAGAAACCTTCTCATTATAATACGCAAGTTCTAATTTACACTGTAGTGTCCAACTCTAAAGCTTCTAAATCAATAGATTTGAAACTTTCACAAAAAACTACTCTCGTTAAGGTCTGTCTCTATACATTTTCGAAAGGGACTACGGTATTCATTTAAAAAAAAAAGTACTGTAGAAATGCAGTATTTCCGTAGTAATAAACTAACTCTTCGCGTTAGCCGAATTTTTTGTGAGAAACCGGCAACTTTTGCCACTCTGTTATCTTGATATGGAAGCATTCGTTTTTGCTGAAAACTTATAAGATGTTACAATGACTATTAAATCTATTTCATAAGAAAGCGCTAATGAAACAAATTTTTATCTGTCTCATGGCCCGTAACAATCAACAAAATATGAACTTGAACGAGTGTTATCAATTGAAAGAGTTTCCTCATAAGTTGTAAACTAGATATCAACCAGATTGTTCTCGAAAATAAGCAAGATTTGAATTCTATACGTAATACTCTTTAGATCTATAAATAATTCATTTTCAAAACTTTGATTGTATTATCAATATATACAAATCAGATTAAAAATTATTCTAAGATATACCTTTTATTCATATATATGGTCCATTTAAGATAAAAATGGATCATACCCACCTTTTATTTTACTTCAATTTTTTACAAGGCTTATTTTTCTAGACTTCAGAAAATTTCATCCTTCAACCTTAATTTCTAGAGGGCTGGACGATGTCACCCAAAATCGAAAAATTGTTCCACTTACAGCAGAAACGCTTTTCATAGCGAAACACACTCCACCACTAAATCTTCTCGATTAGAAACGCATCAACCATATCTATCCTCACAAGGAGAAATCGATCACATTATTCTTACATTATAAGGCGAAATGAATAGAATTATTTTTTCACTATAAGGAGAAATTCTAGTAGAAATGGATTTTCTGTAGCAGAAATACAGAATTTTTCAACAGAAATCCATAATCGATTTCTACCCTCACGAAATATTTCAAGGAGACATCGTTGAACCATTTTGATTGTCGTAAGGGGTAATAAATCATTTTCTTCGGGGTTTCTTATTCGAATACTAGAAGTTTTTTTTGGTGGAGAGAAATGGATGGATGAAATTTTCTGAAGTCTAGAAAAATA